GACACAGAGCAACGACTAATCTGTGCCCACGGAATACGGAGTGATACAGGCTGGAGGGCCGTATTAAACTCCGCTTTCGTGAGGGGAGAGAGATCTCACACCTGCCAAGGCGAGACATATTTTAGACTTGGATGCATGCCACAGTACCTAATCTGAGCATATTTGTATACTTTGTATGCTTGGTATGCTTGCAGCTGGCTTATCACAGCCGGATGCTGCACTCAGATGCCGCCACCCTTGATCCATGTCTCGACGGTCAGAGTTTCGCGTTTGTCGATAGCGACGAGATGAGGTCATGGTCCGTACGAGACGGTCGGGACTCATGACATGATGCTCTTGCCACCTTGGTTGTTGCACCTGCTGAAACTATTGGTGCTCCGTGCCCGCAGCCGTTTGCCATACGGAGTCACCGTGTCCAGCATCGAAGCAGCTGCCTGGAGACTGGTGTACTTGCATATAAGGCATAAGAAACGAAACTTGTACTGTAGTTGTCAGCAAAAGCAGGACAGACGGATGGACAAGGACGGCAGAGAAAGCAATCGAAAGAAACAGAAAGAGGCTGCAAATGCTAATAGCTGCAGGAGCTGCTGCATGCACCAACAACAACAACTGAGCGCGAACAAGACACTGTGCAGCAGGCATGGCGCCTCTAATAGGTCCCTACCAGTAATCTCTCGAAATTTTCTGGCTGCGGACGGACACGACGGGACCCACCGAGGGCTAAATTTAAGCAGTCGTCCTGCACGACAATCTGGACCGCGGCATCTGATTGGCCGGGCCTTGGCGCCTGGTCGGCTGGGCAGGGCTATATTTAGCCTAGGCGCTGTTTCGCACGCATCGACTGAATCCCTGTTCTCCGCTCAACCACTTCGAAACGAGGAGGTGGGGGGGCTCTTTTTTTTTTTCTTGCCCTGCTGCCCCTGCCCGCTGGGCCTGCGTGCGGCTCTGTGACTGGCTGGAGCCACACGGCAGCGCTGCTGGCATGCGCTCGAGCTCTGTCGCTCTGCTGGGACCGCGAAATTTCACGCCGGAGGGGAGGCGGGCGGCTGCTGCGTGGGGATTTGCGCAATTGCGGATGGCGGAGAACAAGAGCAAAAGGCGTGGCGTGGCGCGCATTTCTACTTTTAGCACTGGCCGGCGGGTGCGGCGTGAGAGTGAGAGCTGGTTGACGCCAGAGAAAAAACCAGCAGGTCATCGCCAATCGGTAATTAATCAGGACCCTGCGAGCAGGAATAGGTTGCTTCAATGCTACAGGCACTCGCTGCAATGGCATCTGGTGTCAAGCAGGTAGCCTCTACTTGGGTCTCACCTCGTTGCCGTGGTGGCTGAGCTGCCCGGGAACCCTGCCCTGGACGCCGGACAAGGTCACCGTGACCTGGGGCCGTCTAGCGTCCATCGCAGGCGCACTTAGCACTTGGTAGCGCTGCTTCGCCTGCAGCGGGCCCCCCTTCCAGGTAGCCCGTCCTTGCCCCCAGCCGCCGTTTGTCGCTGTCGAGCCTCTCAAACACCGTCACGCCAGCTCCATCCAATTCTTGCTCTGTCCTTCCTGTACTGTATTTGTTTCTTCTTTTCCTTTGCAACATCCAGCACCAGCAGCCAAGCTCCCTTTTCTTTCGTCCTCGCGCAGGATCCGGCATCTGCACCCTCGGCGCTGCCTTGATTCTCGTTTTCTCGCTTCCTTCTCCTTCTTCTTTCTGTCTGCTCCAGCGGCTATCCTGCATGTGGCCGTCCGCTTAATTAGGCGCCGTTCTTGTTTCACCTCCATTTTTTGGTACCATTCCTTCCATCTCCCTTCCCGGATCACGCCTCATTGTCCTGGCTGTCGACGATCCGCCGCGGCTTCTTCTTCGCCTCTGTCTTCTTCTTCTCTCTTTTCCCCGTTCTGTCTGCTCTGGCCCGCACAAGCAGCGCTGCAACCGCCTCTCGCCTCGTCAGCTGTCTGCGCAATCCTTGATACGAACGCCACCTGGGCCAATACTTGCGACCACTTGGTCGTGTTTTGTACCCGCCAACTGCCCTCCCTCCGGATTCAGCTGTGCTGTCCATTGATTACCTTCTTGCATTTAATTACTGTTCGCCAATTCGTTCTTTCGAACCTCCTGTTCAACATCCGTTCTCTTGTCCATCTTTGTTCTGTCCTGTTCTGTTCTAGTTCATTTCTTTTTCAAATCATAATTTGAGCGAATCGCATCGTTTCTCCTAATAATCCACCTCTCGCATTCGTCGATAACAGCAAACAGCAGCGCACGCATTTTACCAGAAAGAAAGGCGGCGATTTGTTTGGTTTTGCGAGAGACATCCTCAAGGCTCGGAAATATCACAGCACAGTTTGTTCGAAATCATGCCCTCGGCTGCGGCGCGCCAGGTATACGAAGATCAGATACCGACGTTCATGTCCGTCTTCGATCTTGAAGCCGAGGCAATGGCGGACCGGGAAACCTTCACAGTAGTCGGTTCCAAGTTTCTGGACGTGGCGCCCAAGACTTCTACTCGACAATCCAGTCTCCAAGCCTGTCTTGGCCCAGACCAGAGCCACAAGCACCGCGACAGCACCTCGACGCAGACTTCGGAATCCGACGATTCGTCTCCCACCACAACGCTTTCTACCACAGACTCCTCACCTCTTTCAGATCCATCGCCATCATCATCGCCAGACTCCCCGCTTAATCTGATTCCCCTCGGCAACTTTCACTCTGCAAGCTTCAGTGGCCCATCAAATCCGGTTTCACTGCTTAGCATTTCCGAGGCGAGCTCGTTCGAGCGCCCCATGACATCTCCAGCGCCAAGGAAGCCAAGGAATATGAAGGGTCTATCAATTCAGCCACCGACCGCAGCAAACGCTACATCCAAAATGGTTTCAGAACCTTGTTCGCCCTCTTTTATCAAACCGGCAATCCCTGCCATGAAGAGGAAGCCTAGCCTCCTCAGCCTCAAGACCAATGCTTCCGATTTAATCAACAAGACGTCGCTGGAAGTGCCAGGGTCGCCCAGCGTGCCGCCAATCCATCAACGCCGCGCCCTGAAGCACTCAACGTCATCGCCCTCTATCCAATCGTCCTCTTTGAAAACATCCACCTTTGGGCCACCCGGTGGAATGACTTTCCCCAAGGTCCTTGAGCGCAACGAGTCGGGGCTGTCAGAATTCTTGCGACCCATGAAATCTAGCATGAATTTGACCTTCGATGCTGCCATTATGGAAGAAGACACCCCGATCAAGACACAGCTTGCGTCTCGAAACGAGTTTGATGACCCCAACCGTGAGATCGAGAACAATGAAGACCAGAAAACGCCAGGATATCCCGATGGGCCAATCGCCATTTACGGCGACAATGTCTTCTTATATCTAGAACCTACAGCCGAAGAAGCTTCCCGGTTTGACGTGGTCATCAATGTCGCACACGAAGTTCGGAATCCTTTCGAGGCTAGACAAACGCAGGCCAAACCTTCTTTGCACGGTCCCTCTTCTCGAGGCAAAGGATTGTCGTCTAATCTAAGCCCTATCCCAGACACAGCTGGGTCAAACACCAGCTTCTCCACCGCTTGCGAGTTCCAACTTTCCGAGGACAGCTCAATGGACACGCCAACGACACCCAAGGCAAGCACTCACAACGCCCCGGAGTACATTCATATGCCGTGGGATCACAACACCGATATCGCGCCTGATCTCATGCACCTCTGTGAGACGATTGAAAAACGCACAAAGGAAGGAAAGAAGGTGCTTATCCATTGCCAACAGGGGGCTAGTCGGTCGGCTAGTCTTATTATCGCCTATGGCATGTACCAGAATCCCAAGTATACCGTCAACGATGCGTATCACGCTGCGCAAGCCAAGAGCCGTTGGATCAGCCCAAACATGAAGCTCATGTATTCACTACAAGATTTCCAAAAGGATCTCTCCATGAGGCGCACTTCACCAGGCTCTGGTCCCTATCGACCTCGAAACGGACGAAGCCCGTCAAAACATAGATTGACTCTTTCCGCAGACGCAATCGAAATCGCCTCCAAAGAGCCGCACACTGCACCTCTACCGGCTGAGAACGGCAGAAATAGGCAGGGAAGTGATCATAAAGCTCGCCCAAGCCTCCTCCCAGGACACTCGGATGAGCTCCAGACTGTTTCGCCCGGGCCTGCTTCGGCACCACTCACATTCTCGTGGAGGGACAGCTACAGCTTTGAGCGGTCCGAGACTGAGCAGATGGAACCGGAACAGAAGAAGGCTAAGCAGATGGAACCTACAATCATAGAACCGGAGCCCAGCCCTCGACAGTCAAGGCTAGATCTTATGCCGCCGCCGTCTCCTTCTCCTTTCAGGCTTCAGGCCCCTCCCCTGCGGCCAAAGTCAGCTCAGGGAAGAATGAAGTCAAGCTTGGGCTTACCGAGACTGAAGCCAGCCGCATCTTACTCAACTCTGGGCGTTCGTGGCTATTCATCTTCTCTTCCGCTTCAGACTTCCAGTGAAAAAGCCGTTCACTTTTCGGCCATTTTTCCAGACGAGGATGTCGAAATGTCGTCTCCAAGAGATGAAGAAATGACTAGCAATCCAGTACGAGAGTTGACATCTATCGCTGGAATGAGATTTATCGAGCGATCAGAGCTTACTGAAAACCTATTCTCTCCAAGGCGGACGACCTTTAACCGAGATTCGCTTTTCGCATTCGGCAGGCCGACCCAGATGGCTGACCCGCGAAGCCCAGCCACAAAAGGCGAAGCACCCATTATCCGCTCCATTGATGACATTTTGTAATGGGTCGGCGCCATACTTGTTTATTTCGAAACGAAATAAACTGTCTTGGAGAGAAAATAGCGAAGATTGGCATCTTTTATCAAAGCTATCAGAGGCATGATATTGACTTTGAATCTCACTTTTAGCTCCCCTCTCTCGCTGTCGAGATAATTTTCCCATGGCATTTACAGGCGTTCAATCGTGTGTTACAGAACTATTGATTACTCTCTCGTACGAGAACAGAAGCATTCACAAGCGTTTTCGCTGGTATGCGCTTCATGGCCAAGCTAAACCCTTGCCAATGAGTTGATCTCTTTACTCTCATCTTCCTTTGCCAATGGCAGAGTTAAAAGCTCAAAACGGGTGTACAATTTGAGAGATCCGCTTCCTGGCGTTTCTGGCTGAAATAAAAAACCACCAAGGACAGGAGAAGGAAAGGGAAAAAAAAATCATCTATCACCTTGCACATATAACCATACATGGCTTTTTTTGCCTTTACTTTTTCCTTCCGTGTACTTATCAAATTTGTTTTTTTCCTGTGTTTATATGCTCGCTCGTTTTGCGCATCTTTTTTTTTTTTTTTTTAAAGGCTTGGTTGTTTGGATAACATCAAAAACCTGGGTACTGTGGAGGAAATTAATTTCTTGGTTCTTTTGTTTGGTACTACTTACAGCTCTCGGAATCTATTATTTTCGGTATACAAATAGGGAAGTTCAAGGAGGAGGGACAAACTCCAGAAGGCGGGTTAGGCAAGTCGGGAAGCAGGTCTTCAGCGAGACAAATGGGACAGGTCATAGGAGCCACAACCCCGAATGAAGAGATGAGAAGGGAAAGAAAGATACCACGGTTGAGAGGCAACGGGGAGAAGGGAAGCATGGGTAGAAATTACACAAGAAAGAAAAAAATGCAAACACAATTTTAAATCAACATATCTATATACCCTTAATACTTTAATTTTCTTCCTTTTTAAAATATCCTTTGGTCCATTTGTTTTTTCTTTGTATCAAATGCAGCATACAAGACTGGAGCTGCTCTATTTAATTCCAATAAAACGCCATGCAACTTGACAAACAACATGATCCAAACGTGATGAGCTACCTATCTGTTTTATATACTTGGTCCCTACCACTGAACGGCGCCCCCTTATTGCGTGTATATATACATGTATGTACTTTTAAAAAGCGTCAAAAAAATCAGATTCTATCATCACCCCCCCTTTATGAAGATTTCCCCGCCTTGGCAGCTTCCTTTGCAATTTTCTCCTTCCTGGCAATGGCAGCCTCGACACCGATGCCGCCAAAGACGAGGCCGACTCCGAGCAACTGCATCTGCGTGAGGCGGTGGCCAAAGGCGACGACTGAGAGAATCATGGTGAACATCTTGCGGGTCACGGTCACGGTGACGAGCAAGACGGATGAGAATGTAGAAAGGGTGTAGACTGTGTAGTCTGATTAGCATTATTGCACGTGTCTTAAAAAAACACTGAGAAGAAAACTTACAGATAAAGACCTGGCCCAGGGCACCGCAAGCTGCAAAGCCCAACACGTCCTTCCACACAGCAGGGTACTTTGTCATGAAGTCAATGGCGGCGTTCATCTCGCCAGCGCTGCCGGCGACGTCCATGCCGAGCCACTCGCCAATTCCAAGGGAGACGAGCGCAGGGCTGGCAACGAGGTACAGGGACGTCACGGCGGTGCTCATGATGTTGTTGGCGCACATCATCTGCGGCCCGCTAAAGGGGCGGAAAGTCTGGAAGATGTAATCCTGAGTGCTGTTGGTGAGGCCATCAAACAGGAGGTTGATGCTCAGCAGCAGCAGTCCCCAGGGCAGATTCGCCTCCTCCGACAGCTTCGACTTCTTGGCCTTGCGATCAGAGTGGAGCGTGAAGACGGCCACGCCAGCAGTGACGGCGGCCACGACGGTGTACTTGTAAATCGGGTAGCGCTTCCGGAAGATTGTGATGTGGAGGAACATGACGGGCAGCAGCTTGCAGCTCTTGGCCAGCAGGAACGTGATGTAGTCAATGTGCGCGAGACTGGCGTAGCCAAAGGGGCTGGCCAGGCTGTTTGTGATGGCGACGAGCATGAGGGGCCCGAGGATGCGACGCGAGGGGAAAATCGACGGCACGGGGGCGCCTTTCGGAGTCGAAACCAAGAGGTAGACGAAGCCAACGGCCGCGGCGAAGAGCGACTGGATGGTGTTGAGGAAGACGGGGAAGCGCCAGACCTCTGGTGCGCTGGCCGGGCCGTAAGTCCTTGTGGTCAATTTTTCTTGGAGATATGCCCAAGTCAAGCTATTCCAGAAAACCAATTAGTCAAAAACGATCAGAGAGAAAAAAGAAAAAGGACGTCGCAAAATCAAATCGGAAAGATAGATCGCGGGGGAAAAAAAACATACAAGGAAGCGTAGATGCCAGAAACAGCAATCACAAGCTGAACGATACCCGCCTCGCCCTTTGCAGACTCTTGCGCCACCGCCGTTGCAGCCACCGCGTGCCCATTCGTGGCCTTGACCTGTTTTCCATTGCTATCTTCCCATGTCGCCGACTGCTTATTGAAGAATTCAGACGACGATTCGCGTTTGACGGCCGTTTGCTTTGTGCGCGCCATTGGATGCAGGCGGGAGAGAGAGAGTCGAGCGCGTCGTCAATATGCGCTGTCGCAAATAGAAAACTTATTTGCGGGCGTGAAGGCTGGAATCAACGTCTGGAATGGCATATATTGGAGCAAAGGGGGATAGAAAGAGTGGGATAGAGGGGAAACGACGTATAAAAGAGAAAAAAGGAGCGAATGGTCAGGCCGTGCCCAATATATGCGCGTGATTCCCCGAAAGCGAGAGTTTCGATGGAATTTGAAAGTGACAAGTTGGCATCATCTCAACCTTGCCGCGCTGTGACGTCTGGGGAAGGACCCTGAGACTGGTGGGGTGCGCCTGCCGCTTACCGGGCAAGAACTTTCCGATTTGGGCTAAGCCGCCGTACGAGGCGCATCGCTAAATCTCGATGACGGGTTTGTAGGCCTGGATGGGACTGGAAATAGAGGCACGGAGTACTTGTGCACCTAGCTTTCAATGTTATTTATTCTTGATACATCGCCTGTTCAGCACAGTACGTTTAGCATACAGGTCAGGGCAGAGTGCACCGAGTCACAGTTCAAAACCAGCTTGCGTCCAAATATATTTCAGTCTCTTGCACAACGACTGACTAGATGCACTATTATCTAGACATCCCCAATCCCAGATCCGTTTCATGCGCATAGCATGCACAAAAGGTGCATGCTACAGGGTATTGCCTGATTCCTGCTTGGAAAAAAAAGAGAAAGGAGAAAAGAGAGTCATCATCCGCCGCCAGAGACACCAGTAACGAGGAGGAGGCGTTGGTGGGAGGTGATATATGGGGTTTAAGTCGTGTTTACATTTCCGTTGTCGTGCATCGATTGTTAAAGTAAGAGGATTTTGGTAATTTTGTGAGTGTAATAGTCTTCTTTTCGTGGAGTAAAGATGGTAAAAGGGATCGCGGGACAAGAGTTGAGAAGTGAATGATCGTGACAAAGCGGCCGCCGAGAAGCGAGGTCGAGGTTGATATGACACGGTACATGCAAGTAGCACGTCATATACAGTCTGCAACTTCAACTCGGGTATCTCTTTGTCGTTATTCCATTAGTCCCAGGAGGAAGAGTGGGATCAGAGTTGATGTCAAGTGATGCAGGCCAGGAGCGGCCACGATTTCCATGTCCGATAAAGGGGAGCAAAACGGTTGGCGAGTCGAGTGATAGAAATAATAACAAAATCCGATGAAACTGTATCGTGTCGTATTGCAGACATCAAATGAGCCCTGCTCATGTAGTCATCATCTTCGGGTGAAGCTGAACCACTGTAGCAAAAGCGTAGTGGCATCATTATCGGCGCGAGAATCAACCCACGCAGTAAGGATAAAATCGTTCTGAAGGTGAGGTAGTTGGGATACAAATAACACGTGAGAAAGCATAACTTGAGGTAAAGAGAGAGAAAAAGAAGAATAAAGAGGAAATTGAAACGGAAACGAAGAGGGGCAGAAAATCAAAATAAAAACAGGACGATGGCTGCGTTGAATGCTTTTGGTGATGAACCACAATCATCAAAAAACCTGTCCCAGTTCCAGCGGGGGAAAGAGGAGCCTTGCGGCAAACTAGATCTGGACGCCCCCAAATCCGCCAAATCCGGCTTAATTACAGCTCATTCACAAGTGGTACGAGAAACATGAAGCAACAGCCAGTGTGCTTATCATTAGAGAGTCTTTGCTTTTACTCTTGATCTTGCATCTGACTGCGACGCATCTTCTCAGCCTCTAGGTTCTCATAGAGTAAGAAGAGCGCAGACTCGTTGGCCTTGGCGGTGCCCATGATGGTAAACATGCGCTCGCCGGTTTCGTCGTGGGGGGCCTATCGTGCGGTTGGTTAGAGACGGGTCTAGAACAGTACCAAGACTGACGTCGTTGGGTGAGGCTTACCTTGGCAATGGAGATGCGAGCTCCAGAAGTCTTGCGAATGTCACTAATCTTGCTGCCGCCACGGCCAATGATGCATCCAACCATGTCGGCGGGGATGCTAATGTTTTGAGTCTGGATTTCCTCTCCATTCTCGTCGTGGGTAGGAGGACCACGAGTGGCAGCGTCGGAATCCGAGCGACGGCTAAACGGTCTTGAGCCTCCGTTGCTAAAATCAGCTCCATTTCCGGTGCGCATCACGCGAGGGCTTCCGTAGTCGCCTCGGCCACCGCCATTTCCATAGCCGGTGCCGCTCATACTTCCAGAGCCGGAGGTCTGAGTTCGGACGACAGGGTTGTAGAGCACGGTGCCGGTGCCCCGCTGCCAATCGTCGACCAGGCACTTGGAAATCTCCCAAATGGCTCGCTGGATACCTTCGGGGGTGCCCTGCACTTCAACAACGCGCTCAGTTGACTGTGGTAGCATTTCCTTTTGCGCAACCATGCGGACGCCAGAGGTATCTTGGATATGCTTGATCTTGAGACCCTGTCGACCGATAATGGTGCCCATTTGGTTGTGGGAGATGAGAAGTTTGATGGCTGTATTTCGTTATCATCTTGTTAGTTGGGAAATCTTTTCACATAATGCAGAGCAGAGGACAACATGAAAAAAACCACGTACGATGAGTGCCGTTGCCCTGGACGATGCCACCCATTCCGACGGCGGGCGCACCTTCGAGGAGAGCGCGAGCAACGATGGCATAAGCTCGAGAGATGGCATCACAGCCACCAGTGATGGTGAGGACTCGATCATGAACACCTTGAACAACCTTGCTGACGCCAGCTTTCACACCAGTCTCGTCACGCAGGTCAGCAACGTTCTTGCCACCCTTTCCAATAATGACACCCGCTTCCTTGGAGGAAACAATGGCGCGCAAGGTCAGTTGAGCCTGAGCATATTCCTCGTCCGTCTTAGGGGCAAGTTCCCCGTCGGGGCCGAGTCGTTCGTCCATTTTCAGCTGATCCAGAGAGTCGACGATATCGCCGCCATTGGGCGAAAGCAGATCTTGAGAAGACATGGTTGTTTGTTAAGTGGTAGGGTGAGGGGTGAGGGGTGAAGAAGAGATTGTGGAAGGTGAGGTGGATGCGACGGAAGGTTTGGTATCAAGGAAGGAAAATCAGAAGCCGTCCTGAGCTATCTGTTAGATACGTCAGCTTTAGTCCCTCTTGTAAGACAGTTTCCAGATGGAGAGACAGCTGTCCGTGTCTCAACGCAGGTCGCGCATCAGGACGCGCGCACGGTAGAGGCGGCTGGTGACGAAACGAAGCCGCTGTCTGACGCCGTCGCCTGTCTGATAAAAAGCAGAACGCCGGACCGTATCCACGCCGGATTTGAAATGTGACCATGGTCCATCATGAAACAGGGCTACCAGGGAGGTGGTGAGCTTACCATGTAGTATCCGAGAAGCTAGAAGCTACGCGAATGTTGACAAGACTACGAGGACGAGAGCCGATGGTAGGAGGCAGGCGAAAGGTCGAATGCGTCGCCAGACTCTTTTTTTTGTGTGTGGTGCTGGCAGGGATTTGGCGGGGTCGAGAGGCGAGTGGGCGGACGGAGCAGCGAAAAGCGCGACAGCGACCGAACTCGAGGGGCAGGTGGTGCGCAAGAAGATCCGGAAGTTGGAGGTCGAGAGAGAGAGAGAAAAGTTTGGAGAGAGGCGAAGAGTGTGAAGGGAAAAGGTAGAGGCGGGAAGAGGTGAAGAGATGAGAAAGCGGGTTTGTGAGAGAAGAGAGAAGGAGAAGAAGCTCTGGGAGGGGGAGAAAACGCTGCGCACTGGGGCAGGCAGAGCGCTGGAGCTGCAGCTGTCACTGCTGTGGCCACCCGAATGCCCAGCGCGCTGCAGCGGTTGGACCTGCTAAAGCTCAAAGCAGCAAAGGGTCGATGGGAAGAGCGAAAAAAGCAAAAAAATCGGAGACTGCAGGGCGGCGACAGGCCAGGAACGGCCACGCTCTCCGGCGGCATCCACGTACCGATGCGCAGCATTTTCGCAGACGAGGTACTTGTGCGAGCTCCCCTCTCGCCTGCTCTGGTATTACCAACCTTGGACGCGCGCCACCTGCGGGCTTCAGCTTCAATCTACAGCGCTGTGGATCTGTGCCTAGGTTACAGTGTCTGTAAGAGGAAGTACTTGACACTACCTGCTCGGTACCTGGGAATCTGCCGACCTGCATGCCGCTCGGGAGGTACGTCAGGGTGCTTTTTCGGTATCGCAACCACGCGATCCAATTTTTCTCAGCGAGCTGCTCCAGCTATGCTTACCTGAAGCGGAAATGCCAGCGATCCTGGCATATGCCTAGAAGAGCTTTCTACAGAAACTCTTGGATACGTATTAACTCTTATTTGACTCGGGACGTATCAGCGTGGTAATGGATGATATCAAGGTTTTTGGATTAAGTTCAGTGGGTAGCACAGATTGTGACTGTAATGTAGCCACACCGAGAATACTAGCAATTCCTTGGCTGGAGCAAAGGCGAAGCATCAGTATTCGAATGTCGTATTTATCAGCATAAAGGGTAACTCATGAGCAAAGACGAGTTTCATCGACGTGCCTATGCAAATCACCGAACCCTATATAAATGCGAATGGAAGGATTCCATCATTTTAGATGTGGACTTCAGAAGCGAAAGGAAGCCAGCATCCGCCCACCGATGAGGTTTGTCCTCAAACCTCCATTTAACAAACTCCTTGCCTTATAAAGTCAAGTTCATGCAGCTGACTACGGAGTTGCTCAAACAGGCACTCTCTCCTTTTCTTTGTGCAGCCATTCGGGTCAATCAGCGTCGAAATCCATCAGCTACGGCACCTTTGAGCCGGCTGAATAGTGGAAGCTTTGTGAGCGACCAGTAACATATGCAGAAGCTACACCAAACACTTCGTTAGGGGCCACCCTCCGTATCACCATCACGCCTACTATCGAGAAGGAACGTGAACATGATTGACGATGACCATGCCCAGAGCCCTAGTGCAGCCACGGGTGTAGTGGAAGTTGGGGTGGCTGGTCCCATCAATGGGTACTTTGTATATGAAGATATCATGTTACTTATAGAATACATGTATCGACTGGTGTGACTGACTGTCTGTCTGATTCCAAATGAACAGCGCTATGTTGCACTGCATTTGTTTCTTTAGCCCCCCGTTCCCCTCACATCACCATGTGACAATGATCAATAAAGGCAGCGAATCTGTAGTCCGCAAAGCTTAGCTTAGGGTAATCCATCTGGAGTACTCATAACTCCTGTAGTAGGCACCATGAACTTTCTAGATTTCAAATTACAATTGATGTTGTCTTGTCCGTCTCTTCTAGCCCACTGGAGGCTGTGCTTTAGTGAGCACAAATCATGAATCCACTACATGCAGTATACATATATAAAACTACATGTCCAAAATCTAGATTATCTTAGTTTGACCTAATCGCTCGTATCAACGCTGCCGTAATTTCTGCTCATGTTCTACCCAAAAGTTCTTGCAGGCCCTGTGGCCCCAGTGCTCTACCCACCATTCACCAAAGCTGTCTTCAATGTTATAGTCAACCTTGGACACTCTCTCTTCCCTCTTCAAGCCGCATATAATACACGGCTTAGGCCCTGTTGGCACCATCTTGGCTGTCTGGACTAGCATGTTGTCGCTGAGCTCAGGGACTTTGAGGTTGAGTTTGCCCTCGGTATTAGCCGCTGCAACGGCAGATCGAAGGCGCCCTACATGTTCACGCCATACAGCAACCACGTCCGCTGCCTCTCTGTCTTCTCGTGCTGACTGAGTCTTGTCTATGCCCGCGAGCTTCATGCCCTTGCTGCCAGCAGCCGATATGGACATGCTTTTGGCCAGGATCTTGTCTCGGTGCCACCTGTGTTTGCGACCAGCGATGATTCGAGCAGCGGTGGTAGCCAGGAGGATATATCCCTGGAGGAAGTGTATTGCTTTGGGGTTGGACAGAACCTGCTGCTTTATGGAGGCATTGTGGCCAGAAATTGGTTTGAAGAAGACGCTCGCTGAACTAAAGAGGTTGGGAAAGGCGGACAGAATGACCGATGGGGGCGGCACATTGGTTGGGGGAGGGTCATTGTCGCTTCCTTTCATAGCAGAAGATTCGGCGTCATCACCAGCATCCCAATCCCAGTTCTCTGCCTGGTTAGACTTGGCGATTACATCTTTTTCATTATTCGTCTTACTGGTGGTGTCGTCCCAGGCATCCCAGTCGTCATCAAAATTCTTAGCGATTGATGGTTTTTTCCCATGGCTGGCCGGCGGCCAAGCAGTAACTGGCGTTGCTGATTTGGGCGCCTCGTTTTTCTTCTTGGTCACTGCAGTGGCAGTCACATTTGTCTTGACTTCAAGATCTGGGAAAGGATTTCGCTCTTGGAATGATGGCGATCTTGGTGGATTTGGAACCGTTGATGGGACAGACCCAAAGCTCAGTGCCCCCAGGAGCTGAGGAGGAGGCTGCTTCTTAGTGACTTGCTTAATCGGCTGTTGCTCCGGGGGGTCATCGAGAGAGAGCAGATCTAGCAACGCTGAAGGATTGGCAGAAGATGATGGCGGAGAAGCAACAGAATTGAGTTTGGGCTGCATTTGCTGTGGCGCTGATGGCACCGTTTCAAAGTCTCCAAAGTCATCTTCGTCCTCATCAGCCTCAGGTACCTGAAGCTCAAAATCGTCCACATCGAAGAGCACGTTGGGGTCTTTTGGTGCCGACTGCATGGAGAATCTTGAATTGCCTTGCGTCATATTCCATGAAGAATAGTCTTCGCTGGGCTTTGGCTTGGGATCCGGCTCAGGCTTTGCTTGGAAGTCAACCAAAGTATTGGTCATGATGTCGATGGTAGGGGCTCGGACCAGTCTGTTTCTCACATCAGGCCCTTTTGGGGGTGCGGAAAACTCCCCAAACGCGCCCCCAAACGAGTCAAAAGGCTTGTTTATCGTAGATGCCGCCAGGGGAGGCTCCGCAGTCTCAAAATCTCCCCAGCCATCGTCATCAGCATCGTTCAGCGCATGTGGAGTTGACGTCGTTTGTGACAAGGCTGGAGGCGTTGTCCAGCTGCCAGCTCCGCTTGGCTGAGACGGGATGGAAGGCCAACTCTCAATTGGCGAGGGTGCTGCCGCTGTAAAGTCGTTGAAGCCGAAGCCGAAGTGGTTCTTGGCCGCAGGCGGATTCCCCTGGACACCCGAAATGGGTGGCTGTTGTTGTGGTGGAGGTGGCGGATTGCTGTTGGCAAACTCGGCAAACAAATCAGCCGACATGTTGGAGAATTTCAAGATGCATGCTACTGGCTATTGGCGAGAAGAGATGAAGAACAGGGATACCACAACGGCAGAAGACTTGCTTCTCGTTGACCCTGCAGAAATGCGCGAGAGTTTATATAGAAGTACGTAAGCAATGATGTCTTGTGAAGCATGGAGAATACGGCACGGATGGAACTTGGACCTACAGTAGTAGGCGGTGGACACGGTGGACACGGTGGACAGTGCCTCAAGCCCGAAGACCCGAGTACTGGAACATATGCACAAAACACCTAGCCTCGCTGCTGCAGGTGCCATGAGGGATGCGGCATCCCAGTGCCGAGCCGGGGATCTAGCGCTAGCCATCCGCCTACAGCGATGCGAAGCTGCTGAACATGCATGTACCGGTACACGTCAATCCGCGTGGTGATGCGGGGCTTTCCAGCCCACCCTCGACTCTATCTTCGCACTCTCAACCGGATGAGTGAGTTATCCACGACTGTCGGCCTCGCTGTAATCATCACTAATTCGGCGTTCCCAATGCGGCGATAGACTCATATTAGAGCTGGAACTGAGTGTAACATGACGATAAGATTGGTCGCTTAGCTCAGCCCGTCAGAAACCTTCACCCAGGATGAAGTCACTTGCAGAGACGCAGTGAGTAGCGAGTCTTACTCATATGAGAGTTGAGCGCTGAAACGCTGACGGCTGCTTCATTTTGAAGGGCAAGATGGCAGGCAACTCAAACGCACTGCAGCAGCGTCGAAGACTTGCGGAATGCAGTGCGCCATAACGGCCCTTCGAGTCCTTGCCTGTCGGGCAACCGCTCTGTCTGCTGGAAGGTGAGTTTTGTTGTCAGTTTTCTGAAATGTTGGCATGATGTTGACGCAATACGCAAAGGTCTTTCTTTTATCCCGAGATGGAGATGCCACTGAGTTGAGCTGGTCTCAGTTGCTTCGCGAGAAGCGAGAGCTGTATAGTGAAGATCGTGATCACTTCCTCAGGTTCATAAAGCATCCTGAAAGTCTGGCTGAGCTTACCATTGATCCTTTGGCCGATGACCCCAAGGTAAACAGAAAGCTCCATGCTTAAACGTTGAGTTATCAACCGCTAATTCAGCCAAGTCGCCCTGGAATACCGTTCGCGAGGATGAAACTATCAGGGCAGAAATTCTGCAAGACGTACAGAGACTTCCGGATGAAGCAACCTATCATGAAGATTATATGCAGCGCATGATCTTGGATATTCTTTTCGTCTACTGCAAAGTAAACCCGGATAGAGGCGGCTATCGTCAGGGCATGCACGAGCTCTTGGCCCCAATTCTGCATGTTGTCGAACAAGATGCCCTGGATCGCGCATCGGTATCTGGCAGTGATGACGAGAATGACATCGACGAGTTAATGCTCGAAACCATTGACTCTTCTTTCGTTGAGCACGATGCGTTCATCTTATTCTCTCAGTTAATGGAGCACGCTCAATCCTTTTACGAAGTCAAAGATGTGCCAACCCCGGCCCAATCAGCTGATGGTCCATTCCAACCTCGGTTTCCTGAGCAAAGCTCTGCTATTGTCGAGCGTAGCAAATTTATTCACGAGGTCTGCTTACAACAGGTTGACCCTGAGTTAGCAGCGCACCTAACAAGCGTCGAGATACTTCCTCAGATATTTTTAATGTAAGTGTTACAATCCAGGCTCTACCTGAGCGCTTATCTTTTCCCTCATATTCATGGAAACTAACTCAATAAAAAGTCGCTGGATTCGTCTTCTCTTCAGCAGAGAATTTCCGTTTAATCAATTCCTTGTACTTTGGGACACAATTCTTGCTGTCGATCCCTCCTTAGATCTAGTAGACCTGATTTGCTGCTCTATGCTGCTGCGTGTGCGTTGGCAATGTGGGTTCCCTGCTTCCTTCTTAACATCTCTTTTGACGGTCTAACATTTGAATTTAGTATTAGAATCTGACTACTCTGTTTGTTTGCAACTGCTTCTTAAGTATCCACCCCCTGATCAACAACATGGACCTCATACGTTTGTCGACGATGCACTCTATCTCCGCGATCACATGAATACTCTCGGGGGAGCAACCTTGATTAAAAAGTATTCAGGGAAGCTTCCCAAAGTTTCAAAGAGTCCTGAAATCCCTGAGCCCACCGGCTCACCGTTTGCCGGATTTGATTCCATCCGCCGAAAAGGCTTTGGGGTGAGGTCACCAATTCGCTCGCCACGGTTTCTCCAGCAGCAGGGTGGGGTAGAAAACATCTTCCAGGGGATGATGGAGAAGAGCGAAAAGCTAGGGATTAACCGAGCAGTACGGGATGCCGTAGGTGAAATCAAGCGAAATATGCAAGGCCTTAATGAAGGGTTGTCTTCGCCGTATCAAAGAGGCTCCTTAGCCGATGACGTCGCAGCCAAGGCTTTGGCTGCCATGGAGAAGCGAAATCAACAACTAGCAAGCCTTCTCGACGAGACGGTCCTTAGTCTCAAGGCTCTGTCTTTGTCTAATCTTGAAGACAAGGCCAGAAGTTTGGATCTGATAGAAGTTGCCGCGGCCAAAGTGCAATTTGTGCAAATATACCTACAGGACGCCTCTCTATCCATCCCGGCCATGGACCCAGCTGTTAATGAAGAGCCTCAAGCCGTCCCTGAAAAGAAAGAAGAGAGCAAAGTCAAGAAAACCTCCTCAGCCGAAAAAGAGAACCAGCCCCTGTCTCCGAGATCGTCTACTACCAATGTGTCCACACCAAATTTAGCAAAAGCGCCATCGATTTTGCGCGAGCCAAAGAAATCTTCCAAAAATAGCGACTCGCTTTCAGCATCAACAAGCACTACAAAACATGAGACAAAGTCAGACACTGTATTGAGCGAAATCCGTCCCAACGTTCAACCACTTGTCTCAATACCTACTAGATCGACCATAGCACAATCTTCATTCTCGTGGATGCTGGAGCCCGACGAGTCCGGAGCACCACAAACCCCTACAGCAAGCAAATCACCGACAATCCAACAGAAGAAGCGCATGAATAACGCGAGCCGCGAAAAGAATGCCTTCTTATTTGGAGAGGGAGTGCCAGAATCAAGCGAAAGAGATCCACTGGGATCTGGCGATATCTTTGGAATGGAGCCGATGCAAAGTCCAAAGGAGAAGTAAGTTACAAGATGCAGCACGAGGTACACGAGGTACTTTTTTTTTTTTTTTTTTTTTACGTTGAATATGGGGATATGAGCGACTGATTTTCGACAAATTGACCTTTTGTCCTGTATTCAACGAAATTCATCATGGCTGCATTTGACTGGGAATCATGAATCATCAAGCTGGAGCAAGTGTAATCATAGACTGTCTTTGATTGGGTGAGCAAACTATCACTTTCTGCATGCCAAGAATATACTTTAGAGAAAGTAGACGGTTGTCTTTCACTCAATAATCATATACGCAATTTTTTTTTTCATTCAACTTCAAATCCTATCTACTCCAACTAGTTGGCCAAGGGTTTTTTTTCCCGCTATGAAATCAGATCCGCTCATCCGCTCCAGCTTCATAGCTACCCAGGTGGGTAAGTCAAAAGAGAGAACAGGATCCCTGCACCGCCCATTGAAGATAAAAGGTTTTTGTAGCCCACCATTTACAGGTGCGAATTGACAAAAGACAAAAGGTTTCCGAGTCTGACATAGACACCAGCGAAACCGGCCTCAGCACAGCCCTGGCCCCAAGAAACGAGACCCTGGAGAACGCCGTTGGAGTCGACAATGGGGCCGCCGGAGTCTCCAGAGCAGGAGTCCTTGCCACCCTGGGACAGGCCGGCGCAGAACATGTTGTTGGAGATGATGTTGCCGTACTCGCTGTTGCAAGAAGCGCGAGAGATGACGGGGACGGAGACCTTGTTCAGTCTTGAGGGAAGCGAGTTGGAGTTCTCGCTGGTGGTTCCCCTGTTATACGATTAGTATCAAATTCCAACAAAGGGAGGGCCGATGAATTGCTTACCAGCCAGCGGTGGTCAAGGTAGTTCCAGCAGCAGGGTCAGAGCCAGAGGCGGGCAGGGTGACGTAACCGATGGTAGAGCTGGTCTGGATGGGAGTGGACAGCTTCCAGACGGCAACGTCGAAGTCGGGGACACCGTTCTTGGTGGTGTATGAGGGGTTCACGGTGATGCTTGAAACACCAACCTGGGTGCCGCCAGAAGCCCAGGTCTATAACACCAAAGAATGGTCAGTAATCAGTCATGTTGTTGCAAAAGGGGAAAGCTTGACTTACGAGAGATCCAGCGCGGACCTTGACCTGAGAGGCGGAGAAGTCGACGGAGCAGTGGCCAGCAGTGATGACGGTGTTGGCGTTGGCCAAAACACCACCGCAGAAGTGAGAGCCCCCAGAAGACAGACTGACAATGTAGGGGAACTCGCCGGCAGCAGCGGTGGTTCCTCCAACGATCTCAGCGCCACGGGGCTCGATGGCAGCTCCCAGAGCGAGAGCGGGCAGCATAAGAGCTGAAACAACTGCGGAAGCGGGAGCCATTGTGAGGGAAAGAGAGCTAAAGTCTTCTTGGGAGGAGATGAAGTTGGTTGAGATGAGATGAGCGGTGGTGAATATCCAAAACCCCAACGAGAGGGATTCATCCCATATTTATATATAACTCGACACGGGGAGAATGAGGCTCCGTGCTCCATGCTCCATGATCCATGCTATCTAGCCTACGAAGTAGTATTCCCGTCCACGGCCACGGTATAGACTCTTGACTGATACCCCCAAAGAGCATACCGACGTCCAAGTGGCCAATCCCGTTGTACAAAACATCTCCTTCCTAAATCGAAGACCGCAGCAAAAGTATAACTGCATGGGCTTGCAAAAGATCCAAGCTTGGAGACGAAGAGGCCGAAATTAGAAGGCAATGGGCAATGGGCATATCATGAGGACGCGCTGCTACTGGTTAGCATACCTTGCAAGGCTATGCAGATGGAGACGAACGAAGGAGAGACACAGCCCAGGACCCCCCCCCTAGTCAGTCGCCCATTGATACTGAACAAGGCCAGGCAGAGAGACCAGGGAACAACAGCGGCAACGTCAATAACAATACTAGTAGTAACTAGCAAACATCAACACCAAGATAAGCGCCCATGTTTGCTACAGTACAAGATGCAACGCGGGTCCCAGCTACGCGTTGGAAGAACGTCGGCACAGGTCATTCGGCCGGCTCCGGCAGTTTCGAAAAGCCAAATCAGCCTGCCGTATCTGTAAGTTGCTTCCGAGCTCGATCTCTAGGCTTGAGGCATCTCGTTCGTTGTGCGACCTTCTGGATTAAGCTGCCAAGACCGCCTAAGCTTGATAAAAAGCATAGAGCCCCCCCCCCCTCTCCATTAAGGCATTCAACTTCAATACAATAAAAAAAAGTGGCGTCGCGATAAAGAAACCACCCCCCGGTTGCGCGGGGTAATTGAGCCCGAACTGTCAAGCTGGGATAAAGTAGAAGCCGGAGTTTGAAAAGCATGGATAACCCGTCCAATCATTTACTTGTCATACTTCAAGTAAGTAGGTAGGTATTCAATGTTGGTTCCTTATACGAAGTGATCAGCAAGCGTCACACCGTTGTCGAATTTTCTACCAGCGCCAACAGGCATTCATGTAGTATTAGGCACCTAGGAACAACTAGCTGATTCCTTCTTGATGGCTGAGCACAGAGATTGTAGCATTTTTTCTGGACCTCAGCAAATACATACCTAGGCACGTACAGTACAGTATCAAAAGGCACATGCATTGTCGAGACTGGGACGGAACAAAGGCGCCTACGGTAGTTGGCACCTAATTAGGCAACTCGATATCGGCCGCCGGCTAGATTGGCTTCGGAACAGCGCTCGATTGTGACGGGCGCCAGCTTCGAAAATTCATTGACACGCAGATGGCGCGAGATTTCAGAAGTGCCTTTGCCCTTGGCCGTACTTGTTCAAGTCAGGTTTTCTTTTGATGATGAATCCTACTTCGCTTAGCTTAGGCATGCGGCACATTTTAGCCTCCATGGCGCAGTCAGGTTAACTAACTATGGCACTTGCAGTTGAAGCATATAATTAAGATTTTAAGGTACGGCAACCTTTTTTTTCTGTGGCGCCGGTAGTGGTCCAGTATGGAGCATAAACCGCCCAAGGTCCAAACAGGCCGAACATCGGAGACAAGTTCAGAGTAGCATTGCGCAATCGCTCAAGAATAGAATAGGAAAGACCAAAAAAAAAAAAAAAGGGCTACAAAAAGCTAGCAGCACCAAGCTTCTTTCTCCCATCGCCAAGGTCGCAATGCACGATGGGCGGATCACACCAAAAAAAAGGTCCCGCCAAGACTTTTCGTCATTGCCCTATGCAACCGGGAGAAAAGCAGGTCTTGGCGAGGGCCCGTTGCTGCCGCTGGCTTGGCGAGACTATATGCGATACTATTGGAAAAAAGAAGCTGGGTGAGACGGGCTTTTTGATTGGTGGCTTTGCGGTAGGGGAAATGGGCGAGATTGCATCGAAGGGCAGCGTTTTAACGACCTTCTCCGAATGACCTGCTCCGAACCTGCCTCCCACGTATAAGTTGGCCTGGCCTGTGGTTATCTGAAGGTGAACTGATGCCGGGGCAGTGTTTCTGCGAGTCCTTGAATCGTGAACAACATGGAATTTGTCATGGGGTGGCGCAGTGGGAGTTGATAACGGTGAACCGAACCGGACGAAACGATGTGACCATGACTACAAACTAGTAGTTTCTTGCTTCCTCCCCTTGTCTATGTAAGTGCTAAAGTCGCACCGTTATTCGTTTCCTACCAAGCTCGTGTTTGTATCTCGTGTTTATATCTCGTGTTTATATCTCGTGTTTATATCTGACTACGACATATGTGGAATGGCAACATGTAGCTATAAGCAAGAAAATGCGGTAGACATCTTCTACTTGCGCTGCTTTGCTTTACTCACGCTTACATAGAGGCATATAGCAGTTCTTACCGCTTCAGAGACTTCTCCTTCACCCAGAATGTAGTAACGAAGCATCCAAGGCCAAAGAGGAGCGAGGGGATAAAGGCCGCAACTGTAGCAACCTGATAACTCGCCCGCACCTGTTGGGCCAGCAGTGGCGGCAGCTCTTTGATAACGTCCAGACTCTGGCGCACCTTTTCCTCAATCTGGCCGGCATCGTCCCCGATACGAGAGGCAAGTTGTGATCTGAGGACTTGCTGGAGCACAGCTGAGCTGGTACCAACGCCGATGCTAGCACCGAGAGACCGGAAGAGGTAAGAGCAAGCAATGGCGACTGCGCTGTCTTCCACCGCTGCGTTGGCCAGGAGGCCTACGAGAATAGTTGTGATACCTTAGCAGGAGGAAGAAAAAGTAAGTACTCATGTCAGCAGAGAGCGTGCAAAGGCGGCAAATGATTAAAACTTACCACTTCCGTTGCCCATGGATGACATTGTAAATGACGCTGTCACTCCAACAAGCGAACCGTACCAGGTTGTAACAATTAAAGGTATCATTGCGAGGAACAGAATCCCGTAGCTGATAGTGGTTGGCCACCAAAATTTCCCTGTTCTCTTGATAATCCAGCCGCCGGTAAGAGAGCCGCACACGCCTACGGTTGTTGCTGGGATGAGCAGCGTGCCACTCGTCGTAGCGCTGAGGCCCTTGACAGCTTGGAAGAATAGCGGTACGAAGAATATGGCGCTCAACTGAGCTGCCATGCCAAACATGTTGACCAGAAAACAAGGGAACAAGTCTCGACTGAGTATGAGGTGGCCTGGAGCGAATGGATGCTTGGCGATCTTCATCTCGATGAAGAGGAACAAGGCAGAGAAGACGGGCGTCAGACTTAGTGAGACAATGGTGATGCGATTAGACCATCCGAGATTGGGGCCAGAGTCAAGTCCCGTCAGGAGACAAATGACAGTGAGGACAAGGGTAAAGGCACCGAGAAAATCGACCTGACGGACTTTGGAGACCCAGTGATCATTGGACGGAGGCTCGAGATCGAGGATGAAGTATACTGCAATCCAGGCTACCAAGCACAAGGGTGCCTGAATCATGAATGACCTGTTTTTGTGGTGTGCTCCAATTAGCTTAGGCCCAGCCTCTAAAGGTTTCCTGTTCACAAATCTTACCATCGCCATCCTAGAGAATCAGCAAAGATCCCTCCAAGCGGGGCACCTGAGCTACTGCCCACGGCATACACGATGTTGATGTAGCCCTGCCAGACGCCACGCTCTTGCAGCGGGACAATGTCAGAAAATAGAATCGTCACCACCGAGCTCATGCCGCCTCCGCCAATGCCGGCGAATGCTCGTGCGATGCAAAGCTGCGTCATGCTCTGGGCCAGGCCGCACCCCAAGCAGCCGAGGCCGAAGACGGCGTACGCGAAGAGGAGGCATGCCTTTCGACCAAATATGTCACTGAGCTTGCCGTAGAGAGGCTGGAAGCTAGTGAGGGTGAGAAAGTATCTTTGAATGCGTGTTAGCAATTCTTTCTTTTATATCGTTGTGGTGAAGGGGGATTGATAGCAAGACTCGATTTGAGAGTATTACTTACGACGTTGCAATCCAGCTGGTGTTATTCAAGGCCTTGAGCTCGCTGCCGATTCTGGCATAGGTTGCCACCGCAAGGAGCTGGTCAACGGCCACGAGAAAGACCTATGTAGAGGGAGAGATTTACTGTCAGCAACAGGTAAGAAATGTTCTGGGTAAGATGGTTATTTACCCCAACACCAACGGCAGGAAGCAAGACGTGCATCTTGTCCGCCATGGGATGCTTCTGCTGCCTCTCCCCTTCGCCCAAGCTGCCATTTTCGGCATCATAGTCATCATTTAGGACGCCACCTCGAGGACGAGGCTCAGGAAGAAGCGGTGTCTGCTCTGTTGGGGGCACCGCTGCCAGAGGCCCATCTGCGTTGGAGTCGGGCGATCTCATCTTGGTGAGAGCCAAGAGTTAATACTAACTGCTAGCTGATGCAACAGCAGTGGTTCCTCTATCAGCAGATTGCAAGCTCAATGTCCCAGTCAAGGCAGCACGAACCCCTCCGCATGAGACGCGTCTTGTCAAACTGTCACACAAATAAACCGGTGAGATGTGCTGGGACGTGAGTTGCTAATTGCCGGAATCAGCAAAACCCCCCCACCTCGGCTTTTATTCAGCAAGGGGCCTTATTCATCAGCATAATCGCCGTGTCTTTCAAAGGGCGTTTTCTCATTGATAAAACCCGCACAAGGAAAAAGAAAACGCAATCTTGAGCAGATATGGTAAAATGCACCGAATGCAAGGGGATAGTCGCTATCGATAGGCCAATTGGCAGCCTGTTGGGTAGACATGGCGATTGCTGAATAATGTCCCAAATGATCGAGCCTCGGATTTAGACTGTGCGCTCTAGAACCTCAGGCTTCGTCTGAATAATTAATACATGGAGTCTGACTCGGACATTATCTGCCTTGTGTTCAATATGTATCAGTGCTTCAGTATCCTCGACTTTAGAGAAAGGCGCAGCTTGTATTATAGACCCTCCCAATTGATGATGCTCGTCCCCTACAGGTTGATGTAGACGTAGTAGCCAGCAGCGTTCTTTCTACGCTGTATATCACTCCAACGTCCCCTAATAGACATGAAGAACAAGA